GAGGACCATGATTCAATTCCCAGTACTCATAAAGTGGCTAACAACCATCCATAACTCCAGTTCCAAAGAATCCAACACCCTCTTCTGACCTCTGCAGGCATTGCATGACATTGATGCACTTACATACATGTAGGCAGTACATGAATACACATAAAGAAAATAAAAATAAAGCTGGGCATGGTGGTGAATGGCTTTAATCCCAGCACTTGGGAGGCAGAGGCAGGTGGATCTCTGTGAGTTCGAGGCCAGCCTGGTCTACATAGTGAGTTTCAGGCCAGCTGGGGCTACAGGGAGACCTGTCTCAAAAAAATAGTAAATAGGGGCTGGAGAGATGGCTCAGCGGTTAAGAGCACTGATTGCTCTTGCAGAGGACCTGGGTTCGATTCCCAGCACCCACATGGCAGCTATGAACCATTCTTAACTCCAGTTCCAGGGGAATCCAAAGCCCTCTTCTGACCTCCGCGGCATTGCACGACACGGGTACACTCACATACATGCAGGCAATACACTCATACACATAAAATAATAAATAAAATATGTAAAAAAAAATAAATAAAAGCCAGAGTCCAAATTTTATAGTGGAAAGGAAGACAAAACTATCTCTCTTTAGTTATCTGTTAGTCCAACAAATATTATATTAAGTGCCTGAGATGTGCTGGATACACAGCACTTAGACAAAAAAGCCTGTCTTCATGAAGTTTATATTCCAGGGAAGATAATGAACAGTAAAATTGTGAAAACAAGCATGGTACTGCACACCTCTAATCTCAGCACACAGGAGTCAAGGACCAGAGGATGAGTTTAAGCCAGCTTGGGCTATTGTAGGAAACCAGGATGCCAGGCCCTAGGGTGAGGTGAGCCTAAAACTTATAGGTCCAGGCTGCATTCTCTGCTAAAGGGAGGGGCACTGAAAACAGTGGCTCTGATAATCCCTGTCCTGCAGAACACTGTTAGGCTGGCAGGAGGAAGCGACCTGGTCATAAAAGTGCAGGTTCCCTGCTCTGTGGGAAAGCATCTTGGTCAACAACCCTTAGCTCATCGACTTGTCCTGAACAAATAACTCAGCTATCCCTGGCTAAGAGATTAGGCCAGGTTAAAGGTTTACTCCTGAGCTAAAAGCTAAAAGTTCACCATGCTTTTAGCTTTAAGAAAGAAAACATTGTGGCCAATAAATTACTGGATGGGCATTGATAACCTTGAGTAAAAGTTTAAGAATCCTTCTGGCGCCAACTAACAGACTAAATGTCCTGTTTCTTTGTATCCTAAATCTTTGTATGTGACTGCCATATCCCACGTGACTGCTAGTTCCTTGGGATGTATAAAAACCACCTGAATTTTAAAATAAATTGTCCTGTTGGGAAGACACAGGTCCCAGAGTTTATGACTCTGTTGCCAATCAGACCCTCTGCCCCGAAGCCAGTAGGTCCCCCGCTAAGCAAAGCAAACCTGAGTCCCGACAGGCTATAATGTAATTTTTTATTTATTTAGAGATACTGAATCTCATGTAACCCAGGTTGGCCTTGAACTTGATCTAGCCAAGGATGACCTTGAACTTCTGATCCTGCCTCCACTTCCCTAGTGCTGGGAATGCAGGTATGTGCCACTATGCCTGGTTTTATGTGGTGCTGAGGATCAAACCCAGGGCTTTATGTATGCTAGGAAAGCACTGTACCAACTACATTTCCAGCCCCTCACTTATTTTTTATTTTATTTTATTTTATTTTAGTTTAATTTAGTTTTTGGTCTTTTTGAGACAGGGTCTCCCTGTAGCCCCAGCTGTCCTGGAACTCACTATGTAGACCAGGCTGGCCTTGAACTCACAGAGATCCCCCTGCCTCTGCTTCCTGACTACTGGGATTAAAGGCATGTGCCACCATGCTCAGCGGCCCCTCATTTATTTTTATTTATTTATTTATTTATTTATTTATTTTTATTTTATGTGTATGAATATATTGCCTGCATGTATGTGAATGCACCTGCGTCACGCAATGCAGTGGAGGTCAGAAGAGGGCTTCAGATTCCCCTGGAACTGGAGTTAAGGCAGTTCATAGCCACCATGTGGGTGCTGGGAATCGAACCCGGGTCCTCTGCAAGAGCAGTCAGTCCTCTTAACCACTGAGCCATCTCTCCAGCCCCTTTGTTTTATTTTTTGTTTTGTAGTGCATGTGTGCATGCATGCGTGAGTGTGTGTGTGTGTGTGTGTGTGTGTGCGTATTGTATGTACATATGTGTGTGTGGATAATGTGCCCTTCAAGGAGGCCTGGAGGCCCAATGAGAGCATCAAGTAGCCTCCTCTATCACTCTCCACCTTATTCCTTTGAGACAGGGTCTTTCCCTGAACCTGAGTGGAACTCGTGTTTTTCCATAGGCTGGCAGCTAGCAAGCCTCAACAATCCTGCTTCCTCTGCGTCCCTACTGCAGTGGGTTTACAGGCAGGTGTGAGACCATGGCCCAGCTGCTTACTTGGTGCTGGAATATAAGCAATGAGCCATCTCTCCAACACTATTTTTATTTATTTATTTATTTATTTATTTATTTATTTACTTATTTAATTTCTATGAATGTTTTGCCTGCATTTATGTAAGTGCACCATATGCATGCAGTACCCAGAGAGGTCGCTGAGGGTGTCAGATCCCCTGGAACTGGAGTCATGGACAGCTGTTAGCCCCCTGGGAACTGAACCCAGGCCCTTTGGAAGAACTGCAAGTGGGTTTTGTTTGTGGGGGGGTTGTTTGTTTGTTTGTTTGTTTTGGTGTTTTTGAGACAGGGTCTCCCTGTAGCCCCAGTCGGCCTGGAACTCACTATGTAAACCAGGCTGGTCTTGAACTCACAGAGATCTGCCTGCCTCTGCTTCCTGACTGCTGGGATTAAAAGCATGTGCCACCACGCCCAGCTCCAGCAAGTGCTCTTAACTGCTGAACCATCTTTCCAGCCCCACCAACACTTTTGTTTTGACACACAGAGTCTCCTGTAGCCCAGACTGACCTCAAACTTGCTATATAGTAGGGGATGCCCTGAGCTTAAACTTCTGGCTCTGCTTCCCTAGTGCTGGGATTATAGGCACACATCAACATATCTGGTTTTATCTTTCTTTCTTTCTTTCTATCTATCTATCTATCTATCTATTTATTTATTTATTTATTTTATTTATTATTTTATTATTTTACTTATTTGTCTTTTTGAGACAGGGTCTCCCTGTAGCCCCAGCTTGCCTGGAACTCACTATCCAGACTATGCTGACCTTGAACACACAGAGATCCTCCTGCCCCTGCCTCAGAGTGCTGGGACCAAAGGTGTGCGCCACCCATGCCCAGCTATTTATTTATATTTTTAAGATAGGGTCTCAGGTAGTCCAGGCTTACCTCAAACTCATTCTGTAGTCCAAGCTGGCCTTGAATTTCTGATTCTTCTGCCTCCACTTCTGGAGTGCTAGGATTTCAGAAATGAGCCACCATACCCAATTTGTTTATTCACATATATGTATATTATAGTTTTTCTTATATATATGCATATGTGAGAGAGATAATGATAATGCATATGAAGAAAAATTAAACTAGGCTAGAAGGAGTGGGTGTTGAGGGTGGGGAAGGTTGTGCTTTTAAATCTAGCAGTCAGCACTGGGAGATAGCCCAGCAGTAGAGTACTTGCCTAGCATGCCAGTAGCTGTGGGTTGGCTATATAGCACTGAAATCGATCAATCAGTAAGGTAGTCAAAGAAGGTTTTACTAAAAAAAATGACAGCTGAACAAAGATGTAACAGTCCCTATGTCTTCCCCCTTAAAACACTAAGGAAATAAATGTGACTCCAGCATATAATAGATATTTGTAGTTTAAGTGCCTAAGACCTGAAATTTTGTTACATATTTAAAAATGTCTGCAGATCCAGAGATCTTTTTATTTCTTTTTTTAAAACATTTGTTTATTTACTTATTTCTTATGTTGTTGGAAGGCACACACATGCTACAGCTCCTGTGTGGAGGTCAGAGGACAACTTGTGGGAGTTTGTTCTCTCCTTCCACCACAGGACTTCTGGGAATCAAACCCAAGCTGTCAGACTTGGCCACAAGCACTTTTAACTACTAAGCCACCTCACCGCCCACCCCACCCCCACCCCCACTTTTTAAGCTAGAGCCTTACTCTAACCTAGACTAACCTGGAACTTGCTAGATGTGACCTTATAATTAGGCTAGTTCTGAACTTGTAGCAATCCCCTTGCCTCAGCTCCTGAATGTTGGGTTTGCCGGCAGAGCCTCTACTTAACCTAACTCAGAGCTCTTCTTTTAACTACTTATCCACTCTTTGGTCATTCTACCAAGATCATCTAAACTGAATTCCACATCCTTTCCTCACCTTGCTGTCAATCAGCCAGTCAGCAAGCACAGCCCCACTGCTTGCAAACGCCATACTGGATGCTCTGGATTGTGCTCCTGAAACCAGAGACAACTCGTGTAGTTGAGGTGAACAGATTCCTACTCAAAAGGTGACCTTAACAGCACTTGAGGAAACAGCTTTATGGGAAACACAAATCATAATGGACAGTCAAATCTACAAGTGCCATAAAGGTGTTAAAAAGAAAAGTTAGGGCCAGGTGTGGTGGCACCCGCCTTTAATCCCAGCACTCAGGAGGCAGAGGCAAGCAGATCTCTGTGAGTTCAAGGCCAAGGCCAGCCTGGTCTACATAGTGAGTTCCAGGGCAGCTGGGGCTACAGGGAGACCCTGTCTCAAAAAAGACCAAAAAAAAAAAAAAAAAAAAAAAAGGTGAAATACCACAGACATAGGCTTGTAGAGAAGCAAAATGTATGGCCCAGGTCTAACAGGGAGGCAAGTGCATGGACTGGCTGGGGGTACTGAGGAGGGAAAAGCACCAAAGCCTAAATGGGCTTACTCCGTTGTGGAGACTGGATTAGGGATTAGCTCATCTTGGTGAGAGGCACTAAACAAGGCTAATCTAGAAAGGGCTAAGAGTCCTACTTTGACTCATCTCTGGTCTCTGCCTTCAGATGTGTCACCGGTGGTGGCTGGCCTCATTGGGGCCTCTGTGCTGGTGGTGTGTGTTTCGGTGACTGTCTTTGTCTGGTCGTGCTGCCACCAGCAGGCCGAGAAGAAGCACAAGACCCCACCATACAAGTTTATTCACATGCTGAAAGGTATCAGCATCTACCCAGAGACCCTCAGCAACAAGAAGAAAATCATCAAAGTTCGGAGAGACAAAGATGGCCCCGGGAGGGAAGGTGGACGAGGGAACCTGTTGGTAAATGCGGCAGAGGCTGGCCTGCTGAGCCAAGACAAAGATCCCAGGGGGCTTAGCTCCACATCTTGTATAGACCAGTTACCCATCAAAAGGGACTATGGGGAAGAACTGAGGAGTCCCATGACAAGTCTGACCCCTGGTGAGAGCAAAGCCAACTCCCCATCGTCCCCAGAAGAGGACGTGATGCTAGGATCCCTCACCTTCTCAGTGGACTATAACTTTCCCAAAAAAGCCCTGGTGGTGACAATCCAAGAGGCTCATGGGCTGCCAGTGATGGATGACCAGACCCAGGGATCTGACCCCTACATCAAAATGACCATCCTTCCTGACAAGCGGCACCGAGTGAAGACCCGAGTGCTGCGGAAGACCCTGGATCCTGTATTTGACGAGACCTTCACCTTCTACGGCATCCCATACAGTCAGCTTCAGGATCTAGTGCTCCATTTCCTTGTGCTCAGCTTTGATCGCTTCTCTCGAGATGATGTGATCGGAGAGGTCATGGTACCGTTGGCTGGAGTGGACCCCAGTACAGGCAAGGTTCAGCTGACCAGGGATATCATCAAGAGGAATATCCAGGTGAGGAGGAGGAGTGTGTTGAGGAGGGACGGGAGGATGGGGGATACCACAACCTCAGTGGAGAGATGGAAGCAACAGTGGGGAAGCGAGTGACAAGTTACCAAAGTAAAACAGAACCTGGCAGATTAGTTCCTCTACAAAGCAACTTCTGGAAGACAGAAGGGCAAGTTGCTTCTAAAATTTCACCTAGTGATTGGCATCCTGATGTTGCATCCAGCTTTCTTGGAGTCTGCCAGTCCTAGACCCACCCCCCACATACACACACCACACACACTATATTATAGAGGGTGAAGGGGACTAACTCAAGACTGTAAAATCTGTGATCTTTCTCAAAGTGGATATATTTCTTACTGCTGAGAAGTATAAAATATAGTTAATAAATTTTGCCCTCGGCTTCCTTTTCACAACCCAAACCAAGGGTAGTATAATTATTATGAACATGGTTTTTTTCTTTTTTTTTTAGACAGGATTTCATGTAGACCAGGCTAATCTTAAACTTAAACTTGATATGTGACCAAGGAAAACCTTTAGCTTCAGATCCTCCTGCCTCTAACTCTCAAGTGCTGGGATTATAGGCTTGTACCAAGTCCCAACAATGTACGTCATTTTTTTTTTTTTTTTTTTTTTTCTTTTTTTTTTTTTTTCTTTTTCTTTCTTTTTCTTCTTTTTTTTTTTGTTTGTTTGTTTTTTGAGAAATGATCTTTCCATGTATCTCTTCCTGGAACTCACTGTATAGATCAGGCTGGACTCAAATTCAGAGATCCACCTCCCTCTACCTCCCCAGTGCTGAGATTAAAAACATGTGCCGCCAGGCCTAGTATAAGCATTTTACAAACGTAATTTAATGCACTGTTTCATTTTCCAGGCCCAAACCTTTGACACAAAGACCTTTCCTTTCTTCACGCCTCCTGTTTGCATTAAAATGAGGATAAGGTTCTCCACCCTGCCTCCCCTCGCCCCCCAAGGCCAACATTGCTCTTGAATTATTCATTTCAGGAATACAGAAAGAATACATCCACTTTATCCCAGTAGTTCATTCATTTCCTCCACAGTTGGGGAGGCATGTATCTCTGCCTGGAGCTCGCCATAGTGAGTGCCTCCAGAACTGGGCTGCTGGCTCCACATTTTAGCTTATTGCCTTTTAGCTGTGTGACAATGGTAAGTTATATAACCTTTCTAAGATTCTGTTTCCTCAACTGACAATACTGCCTTCCTTACTAGGTTATGAAGATGAAACCAGATAATAAGCCAGGGATTTTGTTGCCTTTAAGGAGTATCCACATTATTGAAAGTAAAAGACAAACATCTTTGGTGATTGCTATAGAGAGAATGTGGAGAGTGCTATAAAAGAAACTCTTAAAATTTTAACCTTAGAGGTTTTATTCAGGCATGATAGGGTACATCTATAATTAGGAGGCTGAGGCAGGGCGATCATAAGTTTGAGACCAATCTGGGCTACATAGGAAGAACCTGTTTAAGAGAAAAAAAAAAGAACTTGGTTTAGATTTTCTAAATCTAAATTCCATGAGCTACATGATGTTGGTCATCCTGCATAAGTTCTCTAAGTCTTCGTTTCTTTTGTTGTTTTTGAGATAGGGTCTCACTGTACAGCCCTGGTTGGCCACAAAATCACAGAGATCTGCCTGCCTCTGCAGGGATGAAAGGTGTGCATCACCATGTCTGGCCTAAACTTTTGTTTCTTAGGAATAAGAAAATGAAATGGATGGATCTACTGGTCCCTACAGTAACCCTTCAATAAATTGTTTCTATCATAAGCAAGGTGAAGTAGTACATACTTATAATCCCAGATACTCAGGAGGCTCAGCAGACAACAAGTTCAAGGCCAACTTGAGCAATTTAGCGAGACCCTTTCCAAAAATAAGAAAGTTTGTGACCATTACTGTCGTGATATCTATAATTGATAAGCTTGAACTTTGGTATGTATGTATGGTTAGAGATACTTGTATTTTGTTTTAACAAAATGAAGGAAGGTAAGGAAAACCTAAACCTACAAAGAAGGTTCAGAAAGGATAGGAAGACCACTCAAAACAAGCACATGTCTCCCAGAAGAACCCCATCTTAGGTGCCATAATTTGTTCTGGGTGCTCGTTCCTCCTGCAGACACATTCCAGACTCAGATGGGAGACAAGGGCTCAGAATAAGGCAGAGAGGCTCCTAGACCAACAGGAGTGGGGAGCAAAGTGAATACCAGAAAACATCAGGCTGGCGGGTGGCAGGGAGCATGCCCTCTGCTCTGTAGTGGTCAACTGTGCTACTGCTGTCAACCAGCTGTGTCCAAAGAACTGCTACTACTGTCACACAGGGACCACGGCAATCCAAGAATTTAGAAGGTGTATTAGTCACTGTTCTGTTGCTGTGATAGAAACACTGACCCAAGCAATTTATAGAAGGAAGAGCTTATTTGAGTTTAGGGTTCTGGGGGAATTACAGTCCGTCATGGCAGGGAGGCATGGTGGCTGGAGGTGGCTGGAGCAGGAGCAGCAGAAGCTAAGCTCTCACATCATCACACAGGCACAGGAAACAAGAGAGTGACTGGAGACCTGGCAAGGCTTAAGAACTCTCTAAGCCCACCCCCAGTGATGTGCTTCCTCCAGGATAGCCACACCTTCTAAAACCTACCACAACAGAGCCACCATCTGAAGACAAAATGTCTAAATACTTGGAGCCTATGGGGGACATTTTCATTCAAACCATCACAGAAGGATATTAGAGGAATTTGTTCAGAACATAAACAAATTGCTGCTTCAATGCCAGGATTCAGTGAACCATCCTAGAGTCTAACAATGTGTTCATGCATCCTTGGAAGGTAGAGTCAGAAGAAGAGAAAAAGAAAGGGCTTAATAGGAAATACTTGCTGAATTCAATCCCCAGACCAAGAGAGAAAAAGACAGGATGGATGACATTTAAAGCATTTTTTGTTTGTTGCCTGGTATGGTGGCATGCCTTTAGCCCCAGCACTCAAGAGGCAGAAGCAGAGAGATCTCTGTGAGTTAAAGGCCAGCCTAGTCTACGTAGTGAGTTCCAGGCCAGCTGGGGTTACAGGGAGACCCTGTCAAAAAGATCAAAAAAATTTTTTTTGTTGTCTTTCTGTTTTGTTTTCTTTTGAGACAGGGTCTCCCAGTAGCCCCAGCTCTCCTGGAATTCACTATGTAGACCAGGCTGACCTTGAACTCACAGAGGTCTGCCTGCTTCTGCCTCCCAAGTTCTGGGACTAGAATCCATGGCTTTTAAAAAGTATTTTTATTTATTCTATTATATTTATTTTATTTTATGTGTATGAGTGTATTGCCTGCATGCATTTAAGTATACCCATGTTATGCAATGCCCACGGAAGTTAGAAGTTCCTTGGATCCCCTGGAACTGGAGTTATGAATGTTAGCCACCATGTAGGTACTGGGAACCAAACCCCAGTCCTCTGCAAGAGCAGACAGTGCTCTTAACTGCTGAGCCAACTCTCCAGTCACTAAAATCGTGACTTTATGTACGTATGCTAGGCACTCTATCAACTGAGCTACAACTCTATCTTATCCCTTATTTTTGTTTTGTTTTATAATATAAGGTCTTGCTATGTAGCCCTGGCTGGCCTGGAACTATGTAGACTAGGCTGGCCTTGAATTTATAATAATTCTGCTGATTTTATTGCCAAAGTGCTAGAATCACATGCATTTATCACCATGTCCAGCCAAATTTGACTTTTAGAACTGGGCATCATGGCACAGGCCTGCAATCCCAATACTTGGGAGGTGAAGGCTGGAGGATCACAAATTCAAGGTCATGCTCAGCTACAGAGAGCTCAAGGCCAGCCTGGGCTATCTAAAGCCCTACCTCAAAAAAAAAAAATCACACACGTAGTAGCACATTTTTAAATTTTTTATTTTATTTTATGCGTATGCATGTATTGCCTGCATGTAGGTAAGTGCACCCATGTCGTGCAATGCCCACGGAGGTTAGAAGAGGCTGTCGGATCCCCTGGGACTGGAGTTACTGATAGTTGTTAGCTGCCATGTGGGTGCTGGGATTTGAACCTGGGTCTTCTGCAAGAACAACTAGTGTTCTTAACTAATGAGCCATCTCTCCAGCCCCATAGTAGCACATTTTGTTTTGTTTTGTTTTAGTATTTTTGAGACAGGGTCTCCCTGTAGCTGCAGGAAGCTTACTAAGTAGACCAGGCTGGCTTTGAACTCATAATCACCTGTCTCTGCCTCCTGAGTACTAGTGCTGGGATTAAAGAGCTGTGCCACCATGCCCAGAATGTAGCACATGTTTTTGATCCCAGCACTTAAAGCCAGGCAGATCTTTGTGGGTTCTATGCCAGCCTGGTCTATAGTGTGAGTTCCATGCAGGCCAGCACTACACAGTAAGAACATCTCTTTTTTTGTTTATTTTGAGATGGGTTCTCCCAACTGGCCCAGCTCCCTGTGTAGACCAGGCTGGCCTCCATCTCACAGAGATCCACCCACCTCTGCCTCGCAAGTGCTGGGATTAAAGGCATGAGCTGGTATGCCTGGCTCTCTGGCCCTGTTTTAAAAAATATTTTATTTTTGATTATGTATATATATGTGGGTTTGTGCAAGTGAGTGCAGATTCCCATGGAAGTCAGAAGAAGGTGTTGGATCTCCCTGGAGCCGAAGTTACAGGCAACTGTGAGCCACTGGATGTGGATGCTGGGAACCAAACTCAGATTCTTTGTAAAAGCAGTAGGTGCTCTTAACGCCAAGCTAGCTCTCCAGCCCCAGAGAGACTGTCTTAAAAAAGAAAAAAAAAAAAAGGCGGTGTGGGGGGTGCTGGAGAGATGGCTCAGCAGTTAAGAACACTGGTTGTTCTTGCAGAAGACCCAGGTTCAAATCCCAGCACCCACATGGTGGCACGAGTGCACTTACCTACATACGGGCAATACACGAATACACATAACATAAAAATAAATTAAAAATTTAAATAAAGGGCTGGGTATGGTGGTGCATGCCTTGGGAGGCCAAGTT